AGTTTTTTAGCCTCCAGCTCACACATTTTTGTCTTAGCTCAGGAAGAATGGCTCCACAGTGAACTAATTTATCCAGTAGCCAAATCGCTTCCTCACAACTGTAATGCCAGTAGTTCACAAAGTAGAATTTTTGCTCCCAAGACTCCACAGTTTAGAGGGAGCACTGTGTGTGTGTGTGTGTGCCAATTCTGCATCTCGGAGCTGTGGATGCGTCGAGGGGGGGGAGGTGATACACTGAGTGACCCCCGGCTCACCTGACACAGGAGGTCCTGCAGGTGGCTGGCGCAGGCGGCGTAGGCGGCGTGGTCGAGGTGCTCGGTGACGCCGTAGAAGCGCTCCAGGAGGGCGGAGTCGCGCTGCGCATCGCAGCAGCCGAAGTCCGAGTACTGCGCGCAGAAGGCGAGCGGCCGCGGAGGCTTAAAGGGCGGCTTGAAGTCCAGGCACTGCGGGTGGCCCGACGCCTGCCTCAGCAGCAGCGCCGCCGCCAGGGCAAAGAGCGGCCAGGCCCGGCAGCCGGGGTCCCGCGAGCCGCTCAGCCTCAGGGTGGGACGGCTGCCGGGCGTGGGGCATCGGCAATGCCCGCCTGCTCGGGCATGACTCTTCCCTCCTGCTCAGCCACCTCCTGGGGCTGGCGCTACGCAGTCCCCCCGCACGCTCTCTGCCGCGCAGCCCTTTTGCGCCTCAGGCGCTCCGGGCCAAGTTCCCCCAGTCGGGAGGGAACCGCCTGCCTCGCCTCACGCGCGGAGCAGAGTCTGGGGAGGGCTGGCTCCGAGGGGCGAGGGCTTGGCCATGCCGCCTCCCCGCCCGCCCCTCCCTTTGCTTCCCGAAGCGCTTCCGAGCCGCCCAAAAGGAGCGAGGGAAGGGAAGCCCAGGCGCCGCCCACAGCTCCGGGCGGGGAAACAGCGGCTGGAGCGGAGGCGGCTGAGCGCCAAGGAAGGAGGCCACGTGCTGGAGCAGCCGCCTCGCCAGCTCTCTTGCGGGATCGACCGGGCGCCGTGATGGTCAAGGCCTGGCCGGTTCAGCCCCACCCGACCCTTGCTTTAAACGTCTTCGGTCCTGGGCGCTGTCACTCGCCCGCTTTCGGTGCGTTTTAGGGGTCCTTTACAAGTGGAGCTTCCTGTTTCAGAGGGTAGAATCCTGTTGGAAAGTGTATTGTTCAGCGTGTATGGAAGGCCAGGAGTGTCATGCCTGAAACGTGAGGAAGACTGCTTCTGAGCCCAGGCAACGTCCAGATACACAGCACCAGGCTTGCCAACCTCCAGGTGGTGGCTGGAGATCTCCTGGGATTCCATCTGATCTCCAGGAGACAGTTCACCTGGAGAAAATGCCTGGTTTTGAACGTAGATTCCATAGTGCTGTACCCCGTTGAACTCTGCCCTTTTCAAACCCCGCCTCCAAATCTCCAGCTATTTCCGAACCTGCAGCTGGCAAATGGAAAGAACTATGTATGGTGCATGATCCCAGAATTATGCTCTACTCTGCAACAGTGCTGGGGGTCTCCGTTTCATCTTAAGAAGCAAGCAGCTGCGGGCGTGTGTGTGTGTGTGAGAGAGAGAGAAGTCACAGCTAACTCCTGGTGACCCCAGCGAGGGGCTTGCAAAGCAACTGAGAAGCAGGGGTGGTTTGCCATTGCCTTCTTCTGCAGAGTCTTCCTTAGTGGTCGTCCTTCCAAGTACCGACTCTACTAAGATGTCAAGATTTGATGAGATCGGTTTATATCATGCCAAAAGCAGCCATAAAGGTAAAGGTTTCCCTTGCTCGAAAGCCAGTCAAATCCAACTCTAGGGGGCGGGGTGCTCATCTCCGTTTCCAAGCCGAAGACCCAGCACTCTCCGAAGACTTCTCCGTGGTCATGTGACTGGCATGACTAAACGCTGAGGCGCACGGAACACTGTTACCTTCCCACTGACGCGGTACCTATTTATCTACTTGCAATTTCTTGCTTTCGAACTGCTAGGTTGGCAGGAGCTGGGGCCAGAGACAGGACTCACTCCGTCACGCGGCACTAGGGTCTCGAACTGCCAAGCTGCCAACCTTCCGGTCTGCAGTTCAGCATCTTAACCTCTGAGCCACTGCGGACCCTAAAAGCAGCCATAGAGGTAGTCAATTTGAAACAGGGCTGCTGTACTGAGAAAGGAGAGATTTACACTGAAAACTGCCCTCTCGGGCTATTCTTAGCCCTGATGGGGAAGAAGACAGACATCTTCTCTTTGTCCCTGTTTTTCATGTATAAGGGCTACCAGCAACCTGTCAGGGTAGGGGGCTGGTTTTGTTTAAGGAAGGAGCACCTTCCCTTCGTCTGCACTGTTTCTCTTATCCTAATGGGTGGGGGCAGAGCTTCATTTATCTGGTGAAGCTTTGCTTTAAACCACGGGATCTTCTCAGTATTTCTCCAGGGTTCCCAATCTCCAGGTGGGGGCTGGAGATTTCCTGCTATTACAATTGATATCCAGACAATAGCCATCAGTTCCCCTGGAGAAAATGGCTGCTCTGGAAAGTGGACTCTATGGCATTATATCCTGCTGAGGTCCCTCCCCTCTCCAAACCCCGCCCTCCCCAGGCTCCACCCCCAAAATCCCCAGGTATTTCTCAACCCACAGCTGGCAACCCTTTCTCCTACACGCCTAGAACCTTGTGACTCTTTACTTACCTATATTGTTACAGCTTCCCCTGCTCATGTTTTTTTAAAGTAGATTAGTAGAAGGGAACCAGAGAGCTACATATTTCATTTTTTCTAGTATGCACACATTCATCAGGGTTCTTGCATCTAGCTGCAGGGAACTTTAATTGAATTTTGAAGAAGGACTCTAAAGATGCCTGTCTTTAACTTTATTCCCCTATGTAGAAGCTCATTCTTAATATCAGATTTATCAGTAGGCCTAAATTTGCATTGGGGACAATCAGCTTGCTCTGTAGCATCAAATATATTTCAGAGGTTAGGTGGCAACTAAATCCATTATTGGCATGTGAAGTGATAAGAAATTATAGCCCACAACATTTGGAACAAAGGTAGCAGAGCACGATTCAGCTGTTTCAGAGCTTTCTTGAAAGGGCAAATCATTAACCTCAGTCTCCAAAGCCCAATCTAAAACTTTCCCTTTCCTCACTGGAAATATTAACCCCTGCGGTGGAGCCAAAGTCCCTTGTATTCCTTCTAACTGCTGTCTGCACAACCATGGAAGTTTTCAAAGTCTCCAAGAAGAGTTGGGTTTCATTTTATAAGATACGCCAACAATCAAGATAATTGCCAAGTGTAAGTGAAACGTAGGATCTAATTTGAGTTCGAGGAAGTCTTTGCTTCCAGTCTTGGGGGACGAAGCATGTCGTAACAGGTGGTTTTGTTGTTGCCTTTTTGTTAAAAGACAAAATGCCTTAACACAGAATTCATGCTTCTGAAATAGCTGAAAATTAATTGAGGCGGGGTGAGGGGGGAATGTGGTTACTATAAAACAAGCTAGGACCTGCTTCCTTAAAGTGTGTAACGACAGATGGAAAATATTACTGCAATTGCAGTTATGGGCAAATTAAAACCGAGGGGCTGCAACAAAGCTTGGATTCTCCATGCACTTTTTGTAGACGTGCAAGCAATAGGCCTCACTTGGATAGCTCAGGCTAGCCCGATCCCATCAGATCTCAGATGCTAAATAGGGTCAGCTCTAGTTCATATTTGGGTGGGAGACCACCAAGGGAGTACAGAGTTGCTGTGCAGAGGCAGGCCATGGCAAACTACCTCTGTTTGTCTCTTGCCTTGAAAACCCTACAGGGTTGCCATCCGTCGGCTGCGACTTGATGGCTGTTGGGTATTGCATAGTTATGGGCAAATTAAAACCGAGGGGCTGCAACAAAGCTTGGATTCTCCATGCACTTTTTGTAGACGTGCAAGCAATAGGCCTCACTTGGATAGCTCAGGCTAGCCCGATCCCATCAGATCTCAGATGCTAAATAGGGTCAGCTCTAGTTCATATTTGGGTGGGAGACCACCAAGGGAGAACAGAGTTGCTGTGCAGAGGCAGGCCATGGCAAACCACCTCTGTTCGTCTCTTGCCTTGAAAACCCTACAGGGTCGCCATCCGTCGGCTGCGACTTGATGGCACTTTCCGCCACCGCCACCACCAGGCAACAGCTATTAAGAAAAGGAACAACAGAGTCACGGGCAACAAACACTCCAGTCCACAAATCACTGAATCAATATTTCTTGGAGTGAAATTGATTTAATCATGTTGGCTGAAAGTGAGACTAACAGTACTGCCCTAAGCACAATTAGAGGCTTCTAAGTCCATTGAAAGGGTGCTTAGATGCGCCCTGACCTGGATAGCTCAGGCAAGCCCAATCTTGTCAGATCTGGAGGCCTCACTTCAAAAAGGATGTGGACAGAATGGAGCGGGGGCAGAGGAGAGCGACCAGGATGATTGGGGGCCTGGAGACCCAGCCCTATGAGGAAAGGCTGAGGGACTTGGGAATGTTCAGTCTGGAGAAGAGGAGGTTGAGGGGGGACAGGATTGCTCTCTTTAAGTATTTGAAGGGCTGTCTCACTCAAGAGGAGGGCAGAGAGCTGTTCTTTCAGCAGCAGAGGATAGGAGAATAAATAAATATATATAATAATAATGGGTTTAAATTAAGTGCAGGAGGGTTCCGACTGGATACTGGGGAAAACTTTTTTACAGTGGAATCAGCTGCCTAGGGAGGTGGTGAGCTCCCCCTCACTGGCAGTCTTTAAGCAGCGGCTGGACAAACACTTGTCAAGGATGTTCTAGGCTGATCTTGCACTGAGCAGGGGGGTGGCGTAGATGCCCTATATTCTCTGTGATTCTATGATTCTGTCTCAGAGGCTAAGCAGGGCCAACTCGCAAGTACTTGGAAGGGCGACCTCCGAGGAATACCAGAGGCAGAACACAAAGGCAGGCTAATGAAGCCACCTCTCTGAAAAACATCCAAGCCCCCAGTAGGGGTTGCCAGAGGTCAACCAGGAGTTCCAGGCAAGTGCGCACAGACACACACACACAGATATATATTTTTAAAAATGAAAGTGTGCTTAGGTGTAACTGTTTAGGGTTGTACAGCAAATTGCCTTGAACCAAGATTAGCCATTTTAACCCATGTTGGGATTTTGTAAAGTAGTTTATGACGAGGGAAAGAAAGAGGGAACAATGTATGTTATGTAGAAATGGGGAAGACCCAAGCATGTGGTGAAAGGCACTGCAGTGTGGTGGTTAGAGTGTTGGACAAGGATCTGGGAGACCCACGTTCAAAGCCCCGCTCTGCCATGGAAGTTCGCTGGGTGACCTTGGGCCAGAGACACCTTTCTCAGCCTAACCTACCTCACAGGGTCATTGTGAGCAGGGCTATTTTGGGGCAGGAACACACAGGAACGGAGTTCCGGCTGGCTCCAGAGTTGGCCACGCCCAGCAGGAACTCATTAGCATAATAGGCCACACCCAACAGCAGAAATTCATTAGGATTGGCTACATTAGGGGTGTGTGGCCTAACATGCAAAGGAGTTCTCTGGGTTTTGACAACAAACAAGGTAAACAGAATAAGAAGCAAAAGGTGGGTGTGGCTGGATGACCACACTTCTGGTAACATGGGGGTGTGGCCTAATGTGCTAATGAGCTGTGCTGTCAGGGGTGTGGCCTAATACGCTAATGAGTTTCTGCTGTTGGGTGTGGTCTATTATGCTAATGAGTTCCTGCTGGACTTTTTCTACAAAAAGAGCCCTGCTTGTGAGTATAAAATGAAGGAGAGGGTTCCCACTGGGAAGAAAGGAGGGGCGTACATAAAGTAAAATAGAATG